AGGCCCTGCCCCTGACCTGTGCACTGACTCACGGCATCACAGATCCAAGCCCTGAACTCTGCTCCGTCAGCCTGCCCTCACCTGGCCTGTCTCCTCCACAGGGACTGCCTGTCTCCTCTGCCTTCTTCCTGCTCCTCCTGCTGTGGCTTGTCCCCACCTTCTGCGTCCCCATTTCCTGGGTGGGTGCTGGGGCTGTCTGCCCAGGCGGGCCACGCGTTTGCTTTGCACCTCTGTACTTTACCTGGACCTGGCTCAGAGGATGTGCTGTGAGCAGGGGTGTGGACTCGCCGCGGGGACCCTGCGCCTTGATCAATCAGAGCAACCCTTGGTGGCTGGGGCAACAACCTGGGGGTGAGATTCAGGCTGGGACCACTTGTGACACTCAGCAGAGAGCTCTGCCCAGGCTGCGGGCCCTTTGCAACATGCCCGGGGTGAGGAGGTGATCACCACCCTGACCCACAGATTGGGCACCAGCTGGTCGCTGAGGCAGTGCAGGGGCAGGCTCCTGACTCTGTCTGATGAAGACATTGCAAAAATACATGCACAGCTGGACGGGGCGATGCAACGGCCCACTGCCCAGCTGTGGTGACAAGGTCTCATTCACTTGACACCCCCATGCTTGGCCCCAGGAAACATCCTCCCCACCTGCACGCTCTCTCTCGAGTCCTTCCCCGGCCTCGGCCAGCAGGGACATCAGAACCCTGTGAGGCGGTCCTGATCCCGTCGGCCTCTGCCCATCACAGCCGGGTGCTGGGCCAAGGTGCTCACCTCCCCGTCACTGGTTGGAACTTTTTCATGATAACATGGGGCTGACAATCCCCACCTTGAGGAATGTTGTGCACAGTCGCAGGACGTGTGTGGGGCCTGCTGCAGTCCACAGCACGTGGTGGGACCGCCCTGTGGGGCAGCTGGGCTGGCTCGCCCAGAGAGCTTCCCACCCCAGTGTCTTGTGGTCACCTTGACCATCTCACACCGCTGCTTCCTCTACCCGGAAAAAGGCCATCATGCAACAGCAGGGCATGCCCTTCTCCCCTCCCCCCTCTCCCGGGTGCCCTGCCTGCAGGCAGGTGAACAGAGTCACCCAAGCACACCGTTAGGAGCCACGACCAGAACTTTGCTTCAAGCCAGACCCACAAAGGAACTGGAGGCTGGCGGTGTGCTGGGGGAGGGGAGGCCAGGAGCGCCCGGAGCAGGTCCTGTACCTCCACCGCCACCTCTCCTCCGCCAGGCGGTCTTAGCCAATATCGCCAAAGCCTCCTACCCTCTGCCTGAGGGCAGGGAGCTTTCTGAGATGCCCATCTGAACACATCACTCAGCTGCTCCCAGCACCCGAGTGCCCCCACCCCCTGACCAGCCCGTGGAGCCTGCTATTTAAAGAGCCACAATCTGGCCTCAGACCACAGGCACTGCCCATGCCCGTCCCAGGCCCCAGCTCCGGAGGAAATCACTTGCTGTTACACTTGCCGGGCCCTGCCCCTCCGCTGGCTCAGGTCCTCCTGCCTGCGTGCCTGCCTGCCTGCCAGTCCTTCTTGGTTCAACACCTTCAGGAATGGCCCTCCTCTCTCTGGCTCTCTGAGCGCTTAGGTGAGCCTCTCTTACAGTCTGGGTCACGGCACTTTTTCAGTCTGTGCATACCATGTGTCTCCCCGAGACCAAGCATGCCCCAGAGAGGAGCACATGCCTGACCCAGCCCGCCGCTGGGTGGACCCCCACTCACCCCAACAGGAAAACCCAGAAGATGAGATAGAAGCACAGCCTAGGAAGAGCTGCCAGGAGACAAAGGAGTCAGCCTAGCAGCTCCAGGGCAGAAATGGGATTGGGTCAAGGCTGCAGACAGAGAGGCAGATGCAGGGACCCAAGGAAGGACTTTATGTTGTCTTGGCCATGCATGGTCTGCCTCTGAGCTCAGGAGCCCAGAACCGGGGTGAACAAGCAGAAAGAAGGTGACCCCGTGGCCCCAGTGTTGAAGGACCTTTGGCTCCCAGGAGAATCCCACTGGATCCCCTTAGGGATCTCCTGGCCGTAGAACCCACATTCCTCACTCCATCACCCTGTCCCCCTGCCCTGGGCTTGCAGAGCTTCTGGGTGGGGACCCCACCTCCCTGGACAGGGCTAGATGGAGGCTGGGAAAGCTGCCCAGGCCGAGTAAGGGGAGGAAGGAGCTCCTGTGCACAGTCCCCTGACCCCACCACGCACAGAGCCCTGCGTCTCAGCTTTGTCAATCTCCCCAAGCCCAGAAACAACTCTGAGGTGTAACTTATTCTCCCCTTTCAGAGGGAACTCAGCGCAAACAGTCAGTACACACCCGCTCCACCAGGTCACGTGTACCCACTCCACCAAGGTCACGTGTACCCACTCCACCCAGGTCACAGGTACCCACTCCACCCATGTCCCATGTACCCACTCCACCAGGGTCACATGTACCCACTCCACCAAGGTCATGTGTACCCACTCCACCCAGGTCACGTGTACCCACTCCACCAAGGTCATGCATACCACCCCAAGGTCACATGTACCCATTCCACCCAGGTCACATCACCTAGAACTGGGCGTCTAAGCCGGCTCTCTTATTTCTGTTGTCACTTTGATTTTTTAGATTGCAAACCCCTTCTGCCTCTGGTGCTTCTCCAATGCCCCTTTGACCACTGACCCTTTGTTTCAGTCAATAGGTATTAACATAGCTCTCTACAGCCCTGATGGTGCAAGTTAGGGAACCAGGCTGTTCCCAAGGCCCTCTCCTGCCATCTGCTGGCCATTTGCCACAAGCCTGTGGGAATCTACAAAGACCATGATCAGAATGAAACCCCCCAAAAAATAACAAGCTATTTCATTGAGCAACTGTGATGTGCTTGGGATCAATTAGCCTACTAAATCCTCATAATCATTATGTACAAGAGAAACAATTAAGAAACTGAGGCCAGAGGGATGAGTGACTCGGCTATTAACTAGCAAATGTGAGGCTGAACTACAGGATCTGACCTAGGCCACCGTGGCTGGCTGGTTTATTTGTTTTGCTTACATTCCCTGTACCTCAGTTTCCTCTCCTGGAAATGAGGTTGACATGCTACTTTTACATGGAATGTTGTGATCATTAAATTAGTTAATAAATGCTAAGTGCTGAGAACAGGGCAGGATACACAGTGAAAATTAAATAAATGAACATTTGCCTGTAACACACACACACACACCACACACTAATATATACACATACCACACACACACACCACACTCTAACACACACACACATACCATACACATCACACCCACCACACCCACACATACACAGCACATACAAAACATACCAACACACATGCATATCACATACACCACACACACATACTATAGTCTAACACTCACATACCACATACACCACATGCATGCATAACAAATATAATACACATACCACACACACCACACACCCATGCGTATCACATACAACACATGTGCGTGCACGCACACGCACGCATGCACACACCACACACATACACTGGTACACAGTGGAAACCAGGAAACTGCTCACCACCTGCAGTCAGAAACCTCATGTTTGCTCCTTCACATTCTGGTGAGTGTGTGTCCTGTGAGCACAACACCAGCCTCGTTTTCCTCCCTGCAAAATGGGGCATGCAGAGCTCACTGTGTCACAGGGATGCTCTGAGGAGTCGGGACATGTGTGACCATCGTGTGTAAACCAGTGAGTCTGTAGGTGGTGCTGACACGCATCCCCAGCTCCTCACCTGGGCTAAACCTGCAGAGGACAGAGACACTGTCCCCACCTCTCGAGCACGAGGCTCCCTCATCGAGACAACCTGGGTACCTGGTGCCTCCCCTCCCTTCCTCGGTAAAGGCACCCCCTCCCGTCTCCCTGCAGCACTTCCACCTCCCCCAGAAGTGAGGGTGGAGGTGCTGGCAGCCTAAGGCCTAAGCAAGGGGCTCCACACTTAGTGGGGGCAGCCCTTCTGCCCGGACAAAGGGCTGGGGTCACCCAGGGGCGGGAGCTCACACAGCATCTCCACCTGGGATGAGGGGAGGCCTCAGGCCCAGGGAAGCAGCCAGCCCGGGCGCCACAGACCAAGGGCCATTCAGCCAATGTTGGCAACCCAAGCTGCCTCTTTGAGTTTCAGAAGAGCAGGGAGGACAAGGTGGCAAACACCACAGTGGAAATACCCGGGTACGTCACCTGAGCCCAGAGAGATATGCAGGTGCAAGGAGTATGATCGATTAGGTCCAGAAAGAGTTCTGACCCAGGCCCACTGCAGTCCAGGCAGGCCTGGGATCTCTGAGTGCTGCCTGTGACCTGTTTCATCAGCGAGTGGCTGGGGTCGGAGCCGTGGCTGGGGCAGTGAAGCTCTTAGAGCAGGGAGTCCCCGGAGGAGATGACGGTGAGCCAGCGAGTCTGCAAAGGTGGCTCCATGGCAAAGTGCACCCTGGGAAAAGGGAGGTTAAGTGTCTGAGTACCAACTGCCAGGAAAGGGCAAGAGAGAGATGGGGCTGAGGGGCATCTGTGTCAGGGCTTGATCGGCCCTGGGGCCAAACCGTGAGTGTGAGGCAGCTCCCAAACCAGCAAGGGAAATGGGGCCATGGGACAGCAAGAGCAGGCGGGTCCCCCCGGGCCACACACTGACACCCAGACACAGCAGCCCTGGAACGGACCTGTGGGCGGCCAGGGCCCTTGGTGCCAGGACACAGGCGGGACGGCAACAGCAGAGCGGCAGTCCTGGCGTCGTGGCTGTCCCTGGGGCACCTGGGTGGGTGGCGTCTGTGCTCTGGGGAGACTGCACTGCACCCCTCTGGGGCTCTGCCTGAAGCCACCCTGGTTCCCAAGACAGGTAAGGAGGCTCCTGCTCTCTCCATCTTCCCAGCTGCTTATCTCTGTGCCTCATGGGAAGAACCTCCCCGGCTCTCGGTCCCAGGGACAGCCTGGCTCCTGGCCACGGCGCCCTGCTCAGGGCAGGGCTGTGGCAGGAGCACCTGGGCCACTGTCCCCTCCTCTCCCCTCTCAGTGTTGATCGGCGTGGGCACCGAGACCTTCCTCCAGGGGCACTTCAAGAGCCTGGCCTTCTACCTGCTGTGAGTACGCACAGCTCTCCCCGGGGTGTGTTCTGCTTTCTCCTCCGATAAACACGGAGCAGCCCGCCCTCTCCTCCTGAGTCCATCCTGTCCCAGAGGTGGAAGGGCTAGAGCCGCCTTAGAGTATCCTCTGCTTTGGAAATGGCTATAATCAAACCATCCCATCAACCAAACAATTACCC